TCGCCGTTTTGGTGGCCATGGGGGTTCCCAGCGAGACCATGGTTTCTTCAAAGCCCTGTACGCCAACAATGCGGCCCTTGTCTGCTGTGAGGGCGCTGCCGGAACGGTTTTCCCTGTGGAACGAGGTGTGCGGCAGGGGGATCCTGCGTCAATGGCCCTCTTTGCTCTGGCTCTGGACCCCGTGCTGCGCTGGATCCGTGCCCGCCGTGTCGAACGTGTAGGTGTCCAATTGGCGTGCGCTGATGACTGCTGCTTTGGATTACGTGACATTCTCATCGATCTCATGCCCACCTTGCTGCTTCCCGACTTGCTCTCTTCCGCGATTGGTCTCTCGCTGAGTGTGGGAAAATGCTACGTCCTGATCTGCGGGACGCTGAATGGAGATGCCCTCGCTGCCCACATGACTCGGAAAGGCAGCCGTTTCGCCTCAGTCCGTTTCGCAACCAGAGTTTTGTACCTCGGATTCTGGGTGGGCCCATCGGCCCATGAGGTGGCCTGGGTGGAAACGATGAATAAATTCTGGCAGCGAGTTCGTCTTCTTCGCTCTCTCTCGCTGGGCTTGGCGACCACCATCCGCATGTTCCACTCTAATTGCCTCTCCGTCTTGCAGTGTCGGATTCAGCTGGTGAGGGTCACCCCAGGGGTTCGGCGTCAGTATAGGGAAGCCTTGCAGATACTTACAGCGGGACCTCGTCATGCATTGATCTACACTATGCTCACCCAGTTTCGTGACCTGGGGATCTCACTGGAATTCGTGGACCTGGGACTGTATGATAAAGCTACGAATTTTCGGGTGGTGATGCGGTGCAAGGCATTAGATTATGCGCTATACGAGTTGGATGGCTTAGCTAGTGGCTTAACTGATGATGAATGTATTCCTGCCCGTATGTTTTCTGGATGGTGGTGCCATTCGATGATACGCACGACGAATGAGGATGCGGCGGACCTCGTGAACTCTCCCATTGATCGAACTGCCCGTCTCATCCAGGCCAAGGTCCATCGGCACTTACGGTCGGTTCGTATGACTGCCACTCCATTATTGTGTCTGGGTGTACGGGTATCGAGGTGGTTAGTTGCAGCATCTCTCGAGGATCTGTTCCGTCTGCGGACTAGATTGCGCGCTGTGGAGCGTGCCACGTGCACACATCTTGCTACCAACGTTCTCCGTGTACTGTCCAGGGGCGTTTGTACTTCGGCACGTTTTCATGCGAATGACCGTGGGTGCTGCTTTGGGTGTGTGGCCCCGGATGACCTTCACCACTACAAAATCTGTGATCGATTCCGTGACCTGGCACTGCACCGTCTCCCTGGGTTGGAAGCATTACCCACGCCGTGGAGGGAGATGTGGCAGCACCGAGATACCTGGCTTACCTGTCTTTGTCTGATGGGACCTTCCTGGGGGCTCGACCGCGACGTCGCCTGCGCTGCCTTCATCGATGCATGTCTGAAGACACGCGCCCATCATCGGCGCCTGACTGAGGTCCCCTCGTCCCAGGTCTCCGTTGCCCGATTGCGTCTTCTGGCTCGTCGGCAGACTGGTGTTGCACGACAGTTCAGGGCACGGCGTATTTGGGCGGGCTTCCACGTGAAGTGATGTCGTCTGAGTGTGACCGCTCCCTTTCTTCCTTCGCGCGTGTGTTCTAGTACTCCTCTCTGTGTTCCCTTGCCTCTCCTGTCGCTTGCTGTCTCCCGTCTCCCCTGCCTCTGCCGCTGCCCCTTCCCCGCGGGGTGGGCGTGGTTGGGTCCTCGGTTTTTCCCGCCCCTGCCTTCCCCTCTTTCCCCTGCCTGTCTTCCGGCCCGCCCCCTCGGTCCTCCTGCTGCTTGCTCCGCCGTGCGTGTGCTGTTGCTGCTGGGGTTGGGCCCCCGCCTGGCTGGGGAGCGCGCGCGGGGGCGTGCGTGCGCCCGCCCCGCCGCTCCCTGCCGCCCCCGCCGCCCGCCCCGTCGACGACCTGTTCAACTGCGCCCGTTGCGCCTCTCTGGGAGGTAGGGTGCCTGCCTCTCGATTTTGTCTAGGCGTTTTTCGTGCCTGGGTTGTGGGTCGTGGTGACGGTGGCCTGGGTTGCAAGCGCCCGAGGCTTGCGGGGCATGGACTCTATCCTCCCCCGTCGCCGAGTGCGCCCCCCCGCTGCCGAGGACTCTCGTTCGGGCGGTGCTGCCCCGCCCCGCCCCGCGCGCGAGGTACCTCGGTACCCCCCGCGGGTGGGCGAAGATCGGCCACCCGTTGTGCACGGGCGTCAAGTACCCTGTCCTTTCTCTCCTCCTTCGCTGCTCCTCTGCTGCCGCTGCTCCCCCCTCCTGCGCGGATATCGACGTTGGCAGGCATGGCCTGCTGCTGCGCTGCTGCCACATATCACGGATTACGGACCTGGGATGGAATGTAGATGCTCGGGAGGAAAACTCCTCCTCCTCCTCCTCCTCCTCCTCCTTCTCCTCCTCCTCCTCCTCCTCCTCCTCCTGCTGCTCCTCCTTCTCCTCCTCCTCCTCCTCCTCCTCCTGCTCCACCTCCTTCCCTCCTCCTCCTCCTCCTCCTCCTCCTCCTCCTCCTCCTCCTACTCCTCCTCCCCCTCCTCCTCCCTCCTCCTCCTCCTCCTCCTCCTCCCCCTCCTCCTCCTCCTCCTCCTCCTCCTCCTCCCCTCCCTCTCCTTCTCCTCCTCCTCCTCCTCCTCCTCCTCCTCCTCCTCCTCCTCCCTCTCCTCCTCCTCCTCCTCCTCCTCCCCCTCCTCCTCCTCCCCCTCCCCCTCCTCTCCTCCTCCTCTTCCTCCTCCGGTCCTCCTCCTCCTCCTCCTCCTCCTCTTCCTCTCCTCCCCTCCTCCACCTCGTCCTCCTCCTCCCCCTCCTCCTCCTCCTCCTCCACCTCCTGCTCCTCCTTTTCCTCCTCCTCCTCCTCCTCCTCCTCCTCCTCCCCTTCTTCTTCCCTCCTCCCCCCTCCTCCCCCCCCCTCCCCCCCTCCTCCCTCCTCCTCCTCCTCCCTACTCTCCTCCTCCTCCTCCTCCTCCTCCTCCTCCTCCTCTTCCTATTCCTCCTCCTCCCCCTCCTGCTCCCCCTTGTTCTCCTCCTCCTCCTCCTGTTCCTCCTCCTCCTCTTTTCCCCTCCCCTCCTCGCTCGGTTTCCTGGCGCAGGCCGTCCTCGCCGACTCCCTGTGGGTCCTGGCCATCCTGCGCTGCCTCACGGGCCTCTTCGGCGGGTCGAGGCCCGTCGCCCTCGCGTGGATCGGGGACGCGGCGCCGCCCGATAAGCAGCCGAAGTACATCCCGTGGAAGGGCAACGCTTCCAGATGCGGCGCTGGTGTGCCCATGCGATCGGGCACGTTGGCTCTCGTCGGATCTCCAAGGTCTTCCAGCCTCGGGATGCTCTACAGTGGCTGCGCCTCGCCGAGGGCGTTCCGGGGGTGCCGGACTCGCCCCGAACGGCCGCCGGAGAGCCGAGCTGCGAGCCGAGAGCCAAGGGGCAACGTCAGAGGCCATGCGGTCGGGAACTCTTGGGTTGCGCGTCGCTCCGCTGGTGTCTGGCCCACAGCGCCTTGGCACGGCACGCTATCCACTTCTGGTCCCCCAGCGTCAGCGTCCCGGGCCTTTCAACACTTCCCGCCCCGCAGAGCGGTGCGACACGCGATCCGCTCGCAGGGCATAGCGTGTCGCCGGGGCCGCCGGGGCGACATGCCATCCAACAGCTTCCGGCCGTAATCGACGGAAGGGATGGGGTCATGAGGGGAGCGCGTCCTGAGATGTTACGTTCCTCCGCCCTGGGTGGAAGCAAGTGCTCAGCCCTGCATGGTACACATATACTTCTCTTCGCATCCAGGCGTCTCGGTGACGCATTCCGATCCTGCACCCCCCGCCGCCAAGCGATTTGGGCCAGCAGAGGCTCCTCAGTGGAGGCTCACTTCGCCTGCGCCAGCCTGCAGCTCAAGAGCCACAACCTGTTTCCTGGCCAACCCACTGGATTTGGGCAGGTAGGGGCAAGGCTCCCATGCTGCTTCAGGGCAGTGATAAACACACGCCACGCGCCCTTGAGCTTACGTTATGTTTTTGTTGGTTCCGAAATTTTCAGCTTGCGGGGGTCCGCTTTCGGACCCCGGGGCTCCGGCCGCGACCAAAACCAGTCCAAGGGATGGCCTCGAGAGCTCCTCCTCCTCCTCCTCCTCTTCCTCCTCCTCCTCCTCCTCCCCCTCCTTCTTCTCCTCCTCGTCCTCCTCCTCCTCCTCCTCCTCCTCCTCCTCCTCGGTTCCTCGGTTCCTCACGGCATGCAAGTCTTCAGGCGTTGTCGTTTTTCTCCTTCTCCTCCTCCTCCTCCTCCTCATCCTTCCTCATCGCTCCTCCTCCTCCTCCTCCTCCATCCTCCTCCTCCTCCTCCTCCTCCTCCCTCCTCCTCCTCCTCCCTCCTCGTCCTCCCCTCGCTCCGCCTCCTCCTCCTCCTCCTCCTCCTCCTCTTCCTCCTCCTTCTTTCCTCCTCCTCCTCCTCCTCCACCTCCTGCTCCTCCGTGTCCTCCTCCTCCTCCTCCTCCTCCTCCTCCTCCTCCTCCTCCTGTTTCCTGTTTTCCTCCTCCTCCTCCTCTTCTTTCTCCCCCCTCCTCGGTTTCCTCGTTCCTCACGGCATGAAGTCTTCAGACTTTGCCGCTATCCTCTTCCTTCTCCTCCTCCTCATCCTGATCCTTCCCTCCTCCTCCCCCTCCTCCTCCTCCTCTTCCTCCTCCTCCTCCTTCTCCTCCTCGTTTCCCGTTTCCTCACGGCAAGAAGTGCTTTCATAGGTTGCCGCTCTCCTCCTCCTCCTCCTCCTCCTCCTCCTCCTCCTCCTCCTTGTCCTCCTCGGCCTCCTCCTCCTCCTCCTCCTCCTCCTCCTCCTTCGGGATCTGCGTCTTGAGAGTGAGAACGGCATGGGCGGTCTGAGACCACCAACTGGCCCCACCCAAACGTGTCCCGAAGTCTTGCCTTTCCACCGTCGCGGGCGTGTCGGCCACCGTCTCCGTGAGCCTGTTCGTGGCGCCCGTCTTCGGGGGCTCGATGGGCCTAGTGAGCCTGCGGCTGCCCTGCTTCTTCCAGGCGGGGCTCGGGCTGGTCGTGCTGGCCGCAGCCTACCGCTACCTCGAGGAGCCCGCGGCGCCCGAGGAGCGGCGGGCGCAGGCGGCGGGCGGCGAGGAGAGGGCGGCTCGGAAGTCCTCCCTGTTCCGCTGGAAGCTGCCCCTGGTGTGCAACGCCCTCGTGGGGAGTCTCGCGATGGGCATCATCGGGTCCTGGCAGACGCTGCTGCCTATCATCGGTGCCCGGGACGTGGGGCTGAATCAGAACGAGATCGGGCTGATCATGGGGCTGGCCGGCCTCGCGATCGCCCTCATGCAGTTCGGCGTCTTCATCCCGCTGAGCCGCAGGGTCCGCTGCTCTGCGTCTTCGTGGGATCTTGCCTGTCCCATAAGCGGCGATGTGTCTCTGTACTCCCACGTGGGCTTGATGCGAATTTTGACATGGGCTCGGGGCAGATTCGTCGTGGATTCGGCGTGGATTCGACGCGCTCGACAGGGACTCGACGCGGCTTCGACGCGGACAGCGGCGAGATGAGACAGACAGGGCCCCCCTACAGCACAAGGTCCGCCTGCCCCTGCTCGGGTCCGCCGGGATGGTGCTCCTGTCCACGCCGAGCCTCCTGGTGCTGACCGGCAACGGCATCTGGCAGTTGCTCGTGCTCACGTTCATTCACGCTGCTGGCGCTGGGCTGGCGACCTGGGGCAGGCGGAAGCCCGGGGGGCAGTCGCGGGGCCGGGGGACCAGGATGGGCATCTCGTAGGGGGCGTCAAAGGGAGAGGACTACACGCCGGTCCTTCAGAGTAGGTATTTTTTGGATTCCCAGATGCCAATCTGCTTCCAGCGTCTTCCTGCTGCAAGAATCGGTCTGTCTTGGCTTGTGCTGTTTTGTTGCTCTCTGGGCGGGCCCGAGCCCAGTCTGCTTTCTGCGCCGCATCCTCCTGGGCGGGCCCGAGCCCAATCCGCTTTCCGCGCCTTCCTGCTTCACGTTTCTGCCTAGTTTTTCCGACCGGCGTGTACTTCTGGGGTTCAACATCATGCTCATGGCCACGGGCATGACCTCTCCCGGATGCCATGGCCCCCCTCGTGCGATGCCTTCCCTGCACCCCCCCCCCTCCCTCGCCCGCGCACGCGCCTCTTCGGGCCATGGTGCGCGGACCCCCCCTCTTCCATCTTCTGCCCCATGATATACCCCCCCTCTCCTAACCGCCTCCAGTCCTCCAGTCCTCCAGTCCTCCAGTCCTCCTCCTCCTCCTCCTCCTCCTCCTCCTCCTCCTCCTCCTCCTCCTCCTCCTCCCTCCTCCTCCTCCTCCTCCTCCTCCTCCTCCTCCTCCTCCCCCTCCTCCTCCTCGTCCTTCGCTTCCTCCTCCTCCTCCTCCTCCTGCTCCTGCCCTCCTCCTCCTCGTCCTCCTCGTCGTCTTCCGCCTCCTTCCCAGACTTCCTGGCCCCCCTCTTCTCCGCACCCGAGTTCAGGGCGCGGGGGGCGGGATCTGAACCCCAGGGGACCGCGGTGCGGCCCCGACGCCCCCATCGCAACAGAGACATCTGGAGTCGCGGGTTGCGGGAACGGCCTCCTCCTCTCCTCCTTCTCCTTTGCCTCCTCTCCTCCTCCTCCTCCTCCTCCGCCTCCTCCTCCTCCTCCTTCTCCTCCCGCCTCCTCCTCCTCCTCCGCCTCCTCCTACCCTTACTCCTCCTCCTCCTCCTCTCCTCCACCTCCTCCTCCTCCTCTTACTCCTCCTGTTCCTTTTCTCCTCCTCCTCCTCCTCTCCTCCTCCTCCTCCTACATCATTCATCATCACCATCATCATCATCATCATCATCATCATCATCATCATCATCATCATCATCATCATCATCATCATCATCATCATCATCATCATCATCATCATCATCATAGGCAGCCCGCCGGGTAGTCCCAGCTGGGGCGTCATACCGAAATCACGACCCAGTGCGCTGGACCCCAGTCGACCTGCGAGGTTCCCTAGCCAGGAGCGCGCGCCGCCTCATCGTGATCGTCGTGACTTTTCTTCGCGCCGCCAGGCTGTGACGAGTTTCCGCCCCCGACTCGCAGCGTTCCGAAAATAGTTGGCGAGGGCGAGCTTGCTTTTCAGAGTTCGAGTGTACGGAGGCCCGTTTCGAGTGGGCCAGGCGATGGCAGCCAGGATCACTTCGGGGGGCCGCCTGCGCCCCACCCCCCAGCCCGCCCGGCAAGCCGAGGCGATGGGGGGCCTCTCTATCGTGGTCAACATGCTCGCGCCGCCACACATCCGGGGCACCGTCATGGCGCTGACGATCACCCTCCAGGCATTCAGCCGCGTGCTCTTCCCGCTCGTGTCGGGCCCGATGTACGACGCCGCGGTACTCCTCCCCCTCCTCGTCTTGGCCCTCTTCCTGCTCTTTCTCTTCTCCTCACCTCGTCGTCGTCGTCCTTGTCCTCCAGTTTGTCCGGCCGTCCCCCTCCTTTCTCTCCGCCTCTGATTCGTCCTCCTTCTTCGCCTCGTCGCCCTCCTCGCCTTCCGCTTTTGCCTCATCCCTTCCCGCTTGTCCTTGCGAACAAGCCCCCCCGGTCGCACAGCCCGGCGTGTCAGCAGGGCGAGCTGGGCGTTTCGCCTGAGACTTCACACTTCCTCGTCATTCACTTGGCATCGCTCGGACGTGTGCATTTGTCCTTCGGCGAGGACCATCGAGGAGCACCCTTTATCATTTGGCGAAACCGCTTACGAAACCGAACAAAACACAGGGAAGGGACGTCCGAGCGATGGCGAGTTCATGGTTCTGAAGCTTGAAAGTTTGCAGCAGTTTACACACATGCAGGGGGAGTGCTTTTCAACATGGGGCACTCGCCTTAGCCACTGCGCCGCGCTCATTCGCTTTGACAGTTCTCAGCAGCTTCGAGGGTGGAGGGAGGTCGTTTTCAACGTGGAACTCTCGCCTCAGCGTCTCGATGTTTCGTTTGTCGAAGTGTGCATGTTCACAGCTGGGCTCTCGTCTTTGCGCCGTGCACCATAGTCCTGCAGCGGTTCCAGTGGTGCAGGGCGGTGTCTTTTCAGAGTTGGGCTCTCCCCTCAGCGCCGCGCGCATTCGTTGTAACAGCATGGAACAGTTGGGAGGATTGTGGGCGGGTCCGTTTCAGCATGGAGTGTCCGCTGGCAACCTGCAAATTGTTGGACCGAGAACTTGAGCAGATGCAGCCGTTGCACGGAGGAAGGCCGACTCCTTTTCAAACTTTGACGTTCGGTTGGGACTCCTCTACATTCAAAGACCAGGCGCTTAAACATATGGTACAGCTGCGCGGATGGATGCCGACTCGCTTGCAAGATGGTGTTTTCGCTTGAGACTTCTTCGGCGCTCATCGCCACATGTGGAAACTTGTGCGGAAATTGCAAGTGTGATGCGGCCTTTAGGAAAACGGAGATGCCGATTGACACTCCGTTGCATTGTCTGATCATACCTTCCCGTGCTCCTAACATTCGCTGGAAGGATACGGAGCAGTTGTTTTCTCGTCACAATGTGGCTCTCGCATGAATGTCAGGCCAGAGGGGTGCTGGTCATCCAAGGGGTGCATCTTTCATGGGACAGCAGGTCTGTGGCGACTTAGGAGAAGAGGGTTTGGGACGGGAGGGTGTGTTCCAGAATCGTTGATGCGTTTTGGCTTTTATATGGTCCTATTCCTTCTCTCTATCTCTCTCAGTGCTCATCCTCCAACTCCTTCTCCTCGTCGTCGTCGTCGTCGTCCTCGTCGTTGTCCTCGTCGTCGTCGTCGTCCTCGTCGGCGTCGTGGTCGTCGTCTGCATCCTCGTCCTCGTCGTCTCCGTCGTCGTCGTCGTTGTTGTCGTCGTTGTCGTCGTCGTCCTCGCCGCCGTCGTCGTCCTCGCCGTCGTCGTCGTCGTCGTCGTCGTCGTCGTCGTCGTTGTCGTCGTCGTCGTTGTCAAGGTCGTCGTCGTTGTCGTCGTCGTCGTTCTTCCTCCATTTTCTTAGCCCTCTCCTCCTCAGCCTTCTCCCTTCTCAGGGTGAGGGCTGTCTTGGGCTCTCCTATGGCCCGCTTTGGCGTCTCGGGGTCCTGCTCCCTGCCCCGGCCCCCTCGGAGCTCTGCCAATGCCCTGCTGGCTTTCCTGTCCTCCTCCTTTTTCTTCTCCTCTGACCCTCCTCTGGCCTTCCCTCTTCTTGTCCTTCTTCTCCTCTGACCTTCTTTGTCCTCCTTCTTTTTGTTCCCCTCTTTCTTGTCCTCCTTCTCCTCTGACCCTTCCCCTTTTGGGCCCTCCTCCCAGACCTCCCGGCGTCGTGACAAAAATCAGGACGGGAGGTTTTTGGTCGTTCTCGGCCTCCGGGGGACCCTCGCTGGGCCTCGGGACCGCCAAAATGGACTCCGGAGTAAGGCCGGTCCCGGGAAAGGGATCGAGACCTCTGGGGTCGACGACGTGAACAAAAATCACGACGTCGGGGGTCTGGGCTGTTGACCTTCTCTTCCTGCTCGTTCCTCCTCCTCCTCCTCCTCCTCCTCCTCCTCCTCCTCCCCGTCCTCCCTTGATGAGAACTTCGAGGAGGATCCAGCCGCGGCGTCGAGAAGCCCCAGATTGACGAGCAAAAACAAGTGAGCCTCGAATTCCAACCTGCCGGACGTTTGACTGCTCTCGCTCTCCCGCGGCCCCGCGTGGGCCTTCCAACCCTCCGAGGAGTGGGCGCCGCTGGCGCTCATCGCGGGCGCCGGCATCGTGGCCGCCGCGATCGAGCTCGCGCTGACGCCCTTCGTCCGCAAGCTGTCGCGCCCCGCGGTGCCTCCTCCAATCTCTCGGAGGAGGGGGGGGGGACGGAGAAGGAGGAGGGAGGAGGAGGGAGGGGGCAGGGATGAGAGAGGGAAGAAGGCTTCGAGGATCAGGGCATTCGGGAGGTTCTGGTGCCCTGTTCGGGCCTCCGGGGATCTCTTCGTCGCCGCGGCTGGATCCGCTCTGACGCATCTGGTAAAACGCACCCTTTGGAAAGGTCCAGAGGTCGACTTGGGAGGAGGTCCGTGGACGCGATTTTTGATGGAGCAGGGATGTGCGCGTGGGTAGAAGGAGGAGGATGAGGATGAGGAGGAGGAGAAGAAGGAGGCGGAGGCGGAGGAGGAGGAGGAGGAGCAGGAGGCGAAGGAGGAGGAGGAGGAGGAGGACGAGGAAGAGGAGGAGGAGGAGCAGGAGGGAGGAGGAAGGGAGGGAGGGAGGAGGTGGACGAGGAGGAGGAGGAGGAGGAGGAGGAGGAGGAGGAGGAGGAGGTGTAGGAGGTTATGATGGGGATGGGGAAGGGTGACACCCTGCGGTCCTTAAGAGCCCACTCCCATCCGGCGCAGCATTACTTTGACCTGCACCGCTCGGTGATCTACTTCAATGTTATGCCCGTTCGATTCACATTGACCTGTTTAATCTCCTCCTTTCCAATAGTTTTTTTTGGTGCAGAGCCGCCTCCTTACGAATGTTTCCGAGTCAGTGCTTGGACTGAAGAGGTCCTAGCGGAGATGGAAGAATTTGGCGAAAGTACCGGGCCGATTTCGGCGAGTTCCCGGCTGCTGGTTCTGGGCCGATTTCGGTGGGCGGCGGGGTTCCCCGGTTATCCGGTTCCCGAGTTTTTGGTCGATCTCCTTATCGACCAGTCTCACCTCATCGATCGCACTACCCACCTCTCTATCGATCACACTATCGATCTCACAATCGATATCACAAACGATATCACTATAGATCGCACGTGCGATCTCTCGGTCGATTTCACGATCGATCTTATGGAATCGGCTTCACTATCGGTCTCATGATCGACCTGACCATCCTCCGCACTATCAATCCTACGATCGATCTCACTATCGATATCACAATCGATCCCAATAGCATGCATTATCCAGACTACGATCTTTCAAAGCATCCATTGATTGGGGCTTTTCTCTGCTGTGAAGTATTTCTTGCTCTATGGGGTCGCGACGTTCCTTGATGGTTTCAATGGAGAGCTCCATTGGTTTCCCTCTCGTGTGAATTCGACTCTTCTGGGCCCTTGCAGAGCCCGCAGGGCTTCAGTGATTTTCTTGAGGGTCACCGTCTTTCCTATCATATACGCATGGTCCCCATCAGTCCTTTCCCCCATGCATTGTTCAATGGTGCATCAACGATGCTTCACAGCTAGCCTTCCGTCCCAAGTCCTCTTTTTCATAAGTCCGTGCAGGCCTTCATTTTTTCTTACAAGAAGCGCCCCCCTTGAAAGCGCAGGTTCTCATTGGCCTGCCGTTCAGGCGGGAGCCCCGCTTGAACAAGGAGCTGCCCTGCATACTTTAGCGCGTGCTCGGGAATGCGGACTCTGCCTTGCTTCATTCAGACGAATGTGCGCGGCGCTGACGCGAGCGCCCCACTTTGAAAGGAAACCGCCCTTGATACGTGTAACTGGTGCAATAGTTTAAGACGACGATGCGTGGCGATGAGAAGGGAGCTCCACTTTCAAAGCGAGGAGGCGGAGAAACAGCTTCGTAGGATTCAGGAGCGAGGGGGGGGGAGGAGGAGGGGAGGGACAGGAGGAGGAGGAGGAGGACGAACAGGGGGATGGGGGGAAGGAGGGGATATGATGTAGGCAGGTGGGGGAAGGAAGGAGGGCGGAGGGAAGAGGGGAGGAGGCAAGATGGGCGCGCGCACGCCATAGCTGACATTCTATCTTTTATCCCCCCGCCCTTCCCATTGGTCTGAGTTGTTTCTTTTCGCCGGCGGATGTCCTAGCCGGCCTGCATCCCAGAAATGGCCCGATCTTGTGATGCACAATCAGATAGGGGGGGGGAGGGGCTGTGCACACTGGAGGAGTAGGAGGGGGAAGAGGAGGAGATGGCGGATGAGCATGAGGATGAGCAGGAGGAAGAGGATGATGCGGCCAGAGGAAGTCGGAGGAGGAGCAGCGGCAGCATGAGGCGCAGTAGGTAGAGCGGGCGGAGCAGGAGGACCAGGAGAAGGCGGAGGCGGGGGAAGGAGGGGAGCGACAGCGACGAGGAAGACATCGGACCCAACGGTGTGGCACGCGCTCGGGGAGGAGTGCCGATCCTGAAATGTGGCCAGCGCTGCAGCCGGACCACCATGCAGATCAACGAAAGACGTCATGAGTGGAATAACTCCGATGAAACATATTCTTGTGACATCCTGTGCTCTACAGAACAGTATGTGTGAGAGGAGTGCCCCCGATCAGACAGGATAGGGGAGAGAGGCGAGCAGTTCTCGTATTGAATACTCGTAGCTGAGGAGCAACAGCAAGGATGGCAGATGAGGGGGGCGTGTACCTCCTCATCTGTCTCCTTGCATCCTTCTTTCCGCGCTCCTCCTCCCAGCTCAAAGCTCTTGCGGTTTCAGCTCCTCATGACGCTCCCCAGTCTCCGTTTTCTTCGTTAGCGTGGTTGAGCAGTCGGTGCCTGCAGATGCGTGAGAGGCTGCTGCATGCTTTTTGTGTTGGTGTGTATGCTCGTCTGTGTGTGTGGACATCAACAAGTGTTTGGGTCAGGTCATGACCTCGGGACCTCTCCAGGGTGGTGGTGTGACGAAGTGTTGGGCGGATGCAGCCGTGGCGCCGAGCTGCCTCTCGGAGGTCCACTTGGCGCAGGCATGATCTGAAGACCTGAAGTCTCAAAGCTCTCCTCCCTCCCCCAGCCTCCCTGTCGCTGCAAACTCCTCCCTCTCGCTCCCTCCTCCTCCCTCCCCCCCCATTCTCGCTCCAGACTCCTCCGTCCTCCCTCTTCCTTCCCCCAAGTGCTCAACGCTCTCCTCCCCTCCCCCCTCTCTCGCTCCAACCTCCTGCAGGGGCTGTCGAAGGAGCCCCCCGGGGAGCAGCTCGCGGACGCGTCGCCCAGCGTCGACGTGCTGGGGCGCCCGCTGGATTCGCTCGTGTCTGGGGCGCTTGAGCAGGATGCTCCTCCTCGGCTCGACTCCACGCACGAGGGACCTTGCAGCGGAGCGACTTTCAGTGCGGTCGCACCTGGGGTCTCCAAATGATGGAGCGCGATCCGATAGCATTGAGTCGGGCGTGTCCCTCCACAGCAGGGGTATCCAAGAGAAGTCAAGAAATAGTCTGGGGACGCTTTGTGGAACTATGTTTGAGCATATGTTTTGCGAATCTTTGATTTTTCGCCCAACCCAAAATCCCCCTGTAGGGGGGCAGGCCCGACCTACTGATGGCAGCGTCTTGCGCGCTAGGGTCTGGCTGCCCCGCGCCCCCCGACCGTCGGGCACCCGAAGGTCGCTCTTCCCTATAGGGTCCCTCCTGCGTGTGCGTGGCCGCTGGTCTCCCCCCCGGGGCAGCCAGGTTCAGACTCGCGGTCTCGTTCAACCGATCCCCGTCCCCATCTCCATCACCTCCCCTCCTCCTCCTCCTCCTCCTCCTCCTCCTCCTCCTCCTCCTCCTCCTCCTCCTCCTCCTCCTCCTCCTCCTCCCTCC